TAAACACAAGATTTTAAGTTTTCTGTACCTCAGCATGGAATCTGTTATATCATCATCCCTGGAATCCAGGGCACTCTGTACACCAGTAACATACTAGGCAAAGGGACATGGCTTTTCCAGGCAGTGGGTGAAGGCTTCTTTCATTGATTGGAGCTGATATTGACCAGACATTGCTTTTGTCCCTTCAGCTTGATAAGCTTTTTCAGTTTCTTCAGTCTGGTTGCTTTTATGCTGCCATATTTATTGTTATATGGTTGTTGCCTTTTTTATTGCAGATGATAGCTAATTGAAACTCGAGGAACTTTATTTGCTTAGCCTTGGATCTTTGGACGAGCAGCTGGTTACTTTGAACCTTTCAGCCTTCTGCTCTTAAATGCATTGAGAGAAGCACCTCAAATTTGGTGCTTTTATTGTAATTTTAAAGACACAAATAGATGCCTTCATTCTTACAAGCAACATCAAAAGGCCAGAGAGTTTGGAATGTATCAATCATACACTGGTCATTCACCATTAATCAACCTACATATGCCTATATTTCTATCAGGATTTCTTCTCCTTCCAATGTGTTCACTCTGCTGCACTGCTGGAGAAATACAGTCAGGAGGAAACCCAATAGGGCCCAGTTGTCATGTGCTGTAAGTAAGGACAGCTTGACTTCCTGACATACTTTGGTATGAGTGCAGTGTTTGTCACATGGATGGGTCTATGCTTATTTATATGCAATGCCATTACTGTTCAGCTGTGGAGTTTGGATTTTCTGTTTGCTGTTCACATGAAGATTGGTTAAAATAACAGATCCTAACTGTTGCAAACTGATTAGTTCGTTTTATAACTGATAAAACCAATAAAGTAATAAACATCAAAGTGCTTGGGTGCAAAGTCCAAAAAATATAAAGTAAGAACAAACATGGGAATGCTTGATAGTTATTCCCAGCGCCCAGGTACAAGTGTATTTGTGTGTTATGACCCTCCCCTTTTCTGGGTTGTGCAGTCTGTGCGTCATCATTGCTTAACTCTGCTCTCCGTGTTGTGCAATTTGTTTGGGCTTGCATCTCACTAGTCAATATATTGGCTTTCGTTAGTGCTCTGCTGTCATAAACTGAATTATCTCTTTGGATGGGAAATACAGTAAAGGAACAGATGTGTTGCTTTAGAAGGACAGTGTTCTTGTTTGTCTGCATAGGTATTACTTAACAGAGGTTGTATATCCTAGACGGAATGCTTTTTGGGGTTAACTAAAATAATACTGGATTGCACGTGTAATACAATGGAATAAAGTTTTAAACGCTCATTTCTACCTAAAGCAATGGAGTTAAAACCTACTTCCTTATTCTTTCCCTTCTCATGTTTCCTCTCAATCCTGTTATTATTACTTTTATGCACCAAAGATAAGCTCACTTGCCTTTAAATCTAGTGACAGGAAAACTCTGCCCTGGAAAGTTTATATTAACACAGAAGAGCTCATATGGTTGCTAGACAAGAAAATCACGCAGAAAAAAAGTTATTAGATCACTTGCAATCTGCAGTCCTGTAGGAAGTGTGTAAGGAATACAGAATTTAGCTCAAATGTCCCAAATTCTAGTCAGTACATCAATGAAAGAGCTCCTGTCTGCTGTTGATTCCTTCTCTCGGTCATCCACATCTCAGGTACCTGCTTTGTGGTGGTAGTCCTGATAAATACAACATGAAGACAATATATGGAATATCTGGTGGGGAAATATGAACCCCTTGTTGGTTTGTTATTTATTGTTGGGGTTGTTTTTTGGTTTTAGTGTTTTTTCTTCAGCCGTGAAGCTGCGTTGTGGCAGAGAGGGCAGAAGCTGCTGGGTGCTGAGGCTCAGGATTACAGCTAGGCTGATCTGCTGGCTTACCTTTGAGAAAAGGAGCCCATCCCTCCCTTTCCCTGCTGCTCTGGTGGATGTAGGACAGCAGGCTACACTCATTTTGTCCCCTGGTATGGCACAAGATGGATCCTGAGTAGTTTTGGTGGGTTGCTGAACCAACGTTAAGTAAGGGGTCTACAAGTGCCAAGGAATACTTACCAGTTCAAGAAATAACTACAGAATTTCCCTTCTGTTAACCTCTACAGTTTTCTGACTTGCTACCTAAATTTCTGTCTGCAAACAATAGTGAACTCTTGGATAGAAATTATTCCATGGTGATAAATGTGGCACAACTGTTATGTAATTTTGTTTTTATTCACTAGAAACAGATCAATGTTTTTCTTTTCTCCTAAAGTCTCCTTTATGTTATGGGATTGTCTAAAGATGAGCTTTTCAAAGGAGAGAAACAATATTCTTACACACATGGAAGCCATCACTGTTTCCCCTTTTGCTCCTTTGGCTTGATGCTGTATTACAAGGAGTAATTGTGGGAGGTGAGTGCTCCTCTTCCTAAACATAAACTAGGCTGAACTGCACTCTTCCTGCCTGCTATAGTTAGCCAGAGCATTAGAAAATTGCTGTGTACCAAGTCAGTCATGGAGAAGAAAAAGCAGGATAATTAGCACTTTTTTTCACAGCGTAATGCAATGCCCACCTTTTCACCTGCCCTACATAGAACTGTTTGCAGTGGGAAATGTCAAATACTCTAGGGATGATTTCATTCCCTTTAATGAAATTATACGGGCAAATAAAGCAAACAGATTCCCTTTTTTTTCTCTCAGTAATGCCATTCTCTTTCAGACAAGTGTTAGCCCATGAAGGGAGCAGATGTATCTTTGTTCAACAAGCATGGTGAGAGCTTTTTCAAATTTATATAGTCTCTTTAGCTAAGATCATTATGAAATAATTTGTCCTTAATTTCCTCTGTGTAGCCACAAGAGAAGTCAGTGAAATTCTGTCAAACATAGAACCAGATAAGCAACTAGTTTCTATATGCCTTAGCACTTTTCTACTTCAGATGGAGATTGTTATGTGAAAAAAATTAAAAATCAAAGTTTGCATTTCTGGATTTACTAATTTGCAGCCAAAAAGTAGTATAAAATGAGCTGTGAGCATGACACAGCTTCACACTGCTAAGGAGGATCTTGCTATAAATTTGTACTTTTAAAGCCTAGAGAGTTGGAATGAAATTCTTTCTGCTGCTAAAATGTTCTCTATCTATATGTCCTGGTGATTTTATTATTCACAGTCATTCAAGGAATGTTCCCTGAGGTGAGAAAAGAATGTTGGCTTACAGCAAGTGTGAAATATCATACGGAAATTTCTAGTATGGAGGAACAAATATAGTCCTGTGCTTGGAATTGGGTTCTAGCTTTTGTTTCTGTTGTTTAAAAGATATTGCAACTTTCTGAGCAACACATCCAGATGCCAGCTGTTTTGCAGACTGTGATTTTCAAAACATTTGTGACATAATACTATTTTTTTAAGTTTTGAATATGGCTGATTTGGGCCTTAGAAATAAGTCATCTTGATCTAATTCAACATTTTTATTTATTTTGTTCCTGTTTTTATAAATAAGTAGATTTATAAGGCATCCTTATAAAATGGAGGCATATGTAATTTAATATTATCAGATAATAATTTCATCCCTTTGGATAGGGTAATAAAATTTTCTTTTTTTAAATCATAAACACAGTGAATTATGATAAGCATGCTCAGAGGTTTTTTAGGATAATAAAGCACAAATAAGTGTTGTCTGTCCACAAAGAGATGAATAAAGTGATTGTATTTACTGTGGCTGAGCAGTGTACTTAAGAATATCTAGTACTGCTATTCAAAAATGCTCTTTTAATAACCTTTTGGTGCAGATATCTGTAGGCCCACATGAATTTCACAGCCAAAAGTAAGGAGTCTTTTTCTGCATTGACTCGCCCAGTTTTAGGGCTGAATTTGAAACTGCATGTTCTTCTCCAATAGAAATGGAAAGACAAGGATGTTTTTGCCAGAAAAAGTGAAAATTGTGGGCCTTAAATATGAAATGAGACCCAGTAGCTTGTGCTGCAATGAATTTTACTGACCTACACTATCTGTTGAAAAGCTGCCTGGATTTTGGGATAGCCAGCCATCTTAAAAATATATGTTTGCATATTTTGTGTTGCAGAAAAGTAGTCATTATTCTGGGCTGAACATTGGCTTAAAAAGTTGAAACCTGTTACAATTTTCTGTCAAATGTAAATCTTGGCAGGATTCAGTCTAGGGAAATCAAGGCCTTGTTCAAACTGAAACATTTAAATTTATTAAAATTTGTTGAAGCAGAGTCTATGTAAAGCCTCATACATGACAGCCAGAAACATGGTATAATTGACTATAATTGTGCTTGAGAGTCTGCTTTTCAAGGAATTATTTGAAATACTCTCATAGCAAAACAGTGCTATCTTCCTTATCACTTGTGCTCTGGGACATCATTGGTCTTTGCATTTTAGGGACTAAAACGAATATTCAGCAGTTCTCTAGGGGTGAGGAATAAATCCTGGACCCAACTGAAGTCAGTGGTCTCATGCTGAGGTCATATATATTGGTTTTGTGTCATAAGGTGTTACATTCCTTCCCAGGTTTGGTTAAATTGTGCTGAGCTGGACGAGCGTTTCTTGGCAAAGGATGAATGATTTTGAACATGTTTGTCCCATCTGGACTTCCTGGCCAAAGAAAGAACCTGGTAGGGCAGAGAGAGGATGGAGGAATGCCACCACAAGCTGCTGTAGACAACCCCTGTGCTTCCTGTGGGGCTCAGGTACTGGCACTTTTACGGGGACGGGACACATGGGGTGACTAGTGAGATCTTCCTGACACTGGGAGAGAGGAGTTCACCATTCTGTGCATGAGAGATTTGCATGAGAGCATGGCTTATGCACAGATAGGGCCTGTTGTTTTAAAGAGGGGTGTAATCACTTCCCCATTGTCTGCCTGAGCACTCCTTTTTAATGTTAAACATCCATGGAACTGGAGTGGAAGCAGCCTCAGTTGGCTACATTTCTGAGAAAAGTGCATCACAATAGCACATTAGTCATCCTCACTTGATAAAAACAAGAAAGATGAATGAAAAGCTGTAGCACAATGTAGAGTTGCAAGAGCAGCTTATATTGAAAGAGCTGGTTTTTTTCCTTGTTGTTTTTAAAGTGTGCGTGAAGACACCAATGCTCCTTGAAAGCCACTCTGTTTAAGGTTTGAAAAACTACAGACTCCTCAGGGTTTCAGGACCTCTACCAGTGGTTGATTCAGGCCTTTTGTCCTTTGGAAGAAGAGAAACAAAATTCCGGCTTCTGCCGTGGCGTGAGGCCATCTGATGTGTCCCTGGAAACAGCCAAGTAGAAAAGGTTTGCCTGCTCTGCTTAAACATTCGAGAGCACACAGCATTTTCTGGGAGAGTTGGGCTTTTGTCCTGAGTCACTGCATTCCTTCTCCACCACTGTGCAGTTAGCTGCTGCCTTCCAGCATGCTGCACAGAGCAGTTGGACTGCACATGAGCAGTGCTTGGGGCACATCAATGCTCTTTGAGGAAGTTATAGTGACCAATGGCACTAAACTGAATGAACAGTTAGTCTTTCTCTGTTCCAGTGTGCAGTAAAGAGCAGTTTTCTAGAATTGAATAAATGGTGCAGCGCCAGATTTGAGGATCTGTTGAGCTGTATGTAGATCACAGAGAAAAAAAAAGCAGATTTGATGACTTATTGAATGACTTCTGCTTGTAAAAGAGAAACATAGAAATGGTCTCTTAGTTGCTGGCAGGAAATAATAGCTGAACTCTGGATGCTAAAACATGATTTGAGCTGTGAGTATGTTAGCTGGGCAATCGGGATGAGAATGATTTCTGTTTCTCATTGTAAAATAATATATCGGTCAGATGTTAGTCATCATTGCAGGAAAGTGGCAAAAGCACAGCAGTAAAGAGACCCCAATATACCTACCAGATGATGCTCAGACTGCTGATGGCACCAAGCTCACATCTGTAAGTTCAAAGACTTAACACTTGGTCCTTATTCCCACGTTTGTTCATCCAGCTGCTTTGGTTCTGTGGGCAAAACTTCATCGTGGGAGTCACTTGAAACTGGCTCATGAGTTCACTGGCATATGAGGAGTACTTTAAAAATATGAAGCATTTTTACATGCAATGTGATTTATAAGTTTGCTTTTTTTCTGTATGACTGATTTCATTGTCATTTCAAGCTGTGATGTTACACAACAGAGAGAATCACCCTCTGCTGTTATAGTCCCTTTTATTCTTTGCCTCTTATTTGGTTTGCCATTGAAATATTGGGACAAATGCCTCAAGAAATGGTGCAACAGTCTCTCTGAGGCTTTGGAGGCCTGGACAAAGCAATGGAAGGAACATGCAATGTGCAAGTTATGCACTAGGGAATCGTGAAGACATTCAGTTATTGTTTTTTGTGTTCTGAGTAAAATGACTTTAGTAATTTAATTAAAATGCAGAACCCAGGCTGGCTTGCAAGGTGTTCAGCACTCTCTGCTCCTTGTGAAGACAGTTTGTCTGAAGACTGACAGATTTTTTTTTTCCTCTCCCATTCTGTGCCTATGTATCACAGTGACATTTGCTCCAATCCTGACATTTAGGTTAAACTTTTGGCATTGAAGTCCCTAACTTTGCTTAAAAAACTAACTCCAAAGCAGAGACTCAGACTATAAAGATAAGCTCCTATTTCAAATGAGTGGAAATATTGTTTTAAATGTGTTTAAATGTGTTAGTGTCATAGGAATTGGGAACTAGATTTGGGGCATTTTTAAACTTCCTTTTATTAATGTTGGGTTATTACTGGACATAGCATGTGTTTGTGTTTTAACTAAAATGTAATTGACTATAAAACAGTCTTGGCATGTCATGATTTTTAGGAGGTCACTACTCCTATTTTTTTTAAAAAGTTACAAGTGATGTGTCCTAAAATATAAATTTCCAAATATGGATTAGATCTTACAATATAAAATAATGTTGCTCATGCCCAAGCAAATAATAAGGTCACTTGTCTGGTATTAGGTCTTAAAGTATGACTAAGTAAAGATTTCTTAAAAAAGAAAGAGGGAAAGGAAGAGCCTTGAATGCAACTTCAGAAGGGCAGAGCTTTCTACTCTGTGCATGCTCTCTGCTCATGTGGCTTTGGACAGAATGACAGTGCAAGAGCAGATTTTGACAATGTCCAGGGGGAAGCACCAAAATTCCATTCACTAAAGTCTGAGAAGATGTGAAGCTTAGCTGCATGTCTCAGTGTGCCAGAGTTAAATGCAGTCGCCTCTGGAATGAAGCTGCCAACAAAGAGTGATTAGGCAGTGTCTGTGACCGATTATTTATGCATCTCACCTGAAAACTCTACAACGACCAAGACTGGCCTCACCAAGAGTCTGGGCTAAGGCACCCACCCAAGAGAAATGCCATCAATGTAATTTCTGTTTTGAGGAGTGGAAGGTGATACTAAGTCTGAATTTAACTCTAAGGTAACTGAACAGGTTCCATAGATGTGCATATCCTGCACTGCTCCCAGTGCCACTGGTCAGATCCTGTTGCTGCTTTTTCTGCCTCTATCACTGAAAGTGAAAAAGGGGAAAGTAGAGCAGGAAAGAAAAAAAAAAAGGTTTGTCTTCACTGTTCTCACTGCTCTTTGTGTGGTCTTACCTTTCAATCCTGGTGCCCAAAGAGTTGCAGAATGACAGTATTTCTCAAACTGAGTTGGTTTTGGAGAAAACTACTACAACAATTATTTCTTCTGCTAAAAATTAGTAAACTTCAGTTAATTGAAGGTGCAGGCAAAACTACAGAAATACTTCATGGAATGCATCTGAGTTTCCACATCCTGTGCTGAAATGAGAAACCAAGAAAAAAATGTAGATGTAAAGCTATAGTGATTTGAATGCTGGAAATTAATTTCAGAGGATGACTGGTTTTTTTTGTGAGAAAATACTCCCTTTGGCTTTTATTGTTAATCTGAGTCAAGATATAAGCTCACAAAATGAGCTTAAATGCAATGAAATGTGGAATCAAGATATGGTAGTCAGCAATGAAAGTGAAAATAACTTTCAAATTATTTCTGTTAGAAAAGCTGAGGCTGTTGGATGAATCTTCTCCTGTTTGAAAAGATAAGGTCTTATATGTCCCTGCAAAATGCACAGAATTTGGCTTCTAGAATTTCAGTACTTTGACAAAGCTTTAAAAAGAGCTGAAAATGAGGGAGTCCTTGCTGGAAACGTCAGCAGCTTGGCAAGGCTTTGGGCAGTTGGCATTAACATCAATGCTGGTATTCAGCTGACACCCTTGTTCAATGTATCTTTCTTACTGCAACTGGCAGGAGACAAGGGCTATTGTGACTGCAACTTTGAAAGCAATATTTAATTAAGTAAATTGATGTGTTCATTGGGAAACTGCAAATCATTTTTATGTGGCTTTTTTTTTCCCCCTTTAATAAAGGCTCTTGAAGGGGTGCTCTTTGCATTCAATAAAGTTTTATCTTTACTGTGGGTACTTAGTGGTTTGCATGCTTCAGCTTGCTGCTCAGTGGGCATCAAGGGCAGAGTTTTTCCTTTAAATATCTTCATTCTCTACCTACACTTTCAGGAAGAGACAAATTTGATGGGTTTGACTTGTGCTGAACGTGCAAATCATCCTTTTTATTAAAGGATGTTCAGTTCTGCTGAATGAGCAAATAAGGGAAAAAAATAGGATTTCAGTGGATTGCTTCTGCCTGCTCCCAAGAATAATTTCACATACACTGTGCCCATGGAAGTAAAAAGGAGACATTTGCTAATGTTTTGGAAGGGAAAGCAGCTTGTGCAGGGCGATGTAATCATTATCCCTTGCTTAGGCCTCCCAGAGAGGAGGGAGAAACCAAGATGTGAACACTAAAGGGTTAAACACGACGTTGAGAGCAATTTGTCTATTGTTTGTCTACTAATATCTTTCACCAACTTACCATTCATCACCTTTTCCAAGTAGTCTCCATATAGCAACAAATGGCGCCACAGACAAACCAGATGCAATCTCATGTTTTCTTTTCATAAGCATTAGTAAATTTGTTAAAAGGAAAAATAAGGGAAATGGGAGAAAAATGTTTATTTTGTAGAAGCTGTACCAAGGAGCATTGAGAACAGGGGACTCTTTTTGCTGTAACCCCCTGTGCTACCTGATGGACCTCTACAGTTCTGCATATATTTTTTTTTTCTTAAAGGAGTTGTTCTGTGCCATTGAAATGAACATAGGTCCTCTTCACAGTACTCTTGAGGATCCTGAGCTTGTATTCTGAATATTTAGAGCATGTTGACAGAAGCCTAGGTGTAAAACTGGACTCTTATGTTCCACCTTTAGTTTGCTGCTAATTTTCATCTCTCTGTTTAATGTCATAACACAGTTTTCCACAATGACATATCTGCATATAATTGCTATGTCTATGTTTTTCTGTCTGCAGCACAATGCCATGAATGCACAGAATGTTTTTTTTCCCAGCAATCTTGCTTAAAGTCCTTAAATTTGATTCTTTCCTTTACTCTGTAGGTTCATTACTTTTCCTTAAAAAGAAATCTATTGCTTTTCTCTTTTTTTTTTTTTTTTTTACTCTAAGTTTCTTTCAGTTGGAGCTGACTTTAAAAGATGGAAAGCATTTATGTTTCTTTACATAGAAATCAACCATATGCTTTGTTTGGCCCTATATTATTTCAGTTTAAAAAAACCCCAAAAAACCAACAATCAAATACCAAGTAAAAAAACCCCATCCCAAACCTCAAACTTATGAAAACAACAAGTCTCTGCAAGAGTAGATAGTTTGTATCTCTCTCTTGCTGTTGAATGTACGATAAATATAAAATGCCAACTGTCCTTATTATAATAGAAGATTTCTAGGTTTTTACAAGCGTGAAGCATTGTTGTAAGAGTTACTTATTTTCCCTTGATGAGTTTTATAACTTATGAAATTTTCACTGAGATGCACAGAGTAGGTTTTCATATTATGGCTGAGTGCTTGTCAGCAGTCCAGGCAGAACTTCTGGAGACTGGTCAAAGGAAAAGGTCATCCTCCACCATTCAACCTTCCCAGCTGTAGCAAAGGCTGGCCAAAATGCATTTAAAACAGCTGTTCTTTTGTAGCAGCAATTACTGTAGTTGTTACAAGGAAGTTAGATGGTCACAAATGGGAGGGAGATCAGTTTAACAATTGTAAATCCTTGCTGCCACTCATTTTTGAGTACAGGAGCCTTGAATGAATGGACTTAAGTTCTGTTTCTCTAGAAAATACAATTGATGGAATGTTTTACCACCAAGATGCAGAAGATCTTGTTAGTAAAAAGAAAATCAACATAAATTCCTTCCTGTCAATTGCACAACAGTTATATTCCAAGTTTTTCCCATCTCACTTGATGGTTTGCATATAGGTGCTGTGCATAAAGGCTGGTTGGCCAATTTAAATGGTAATGAGAAGATCTGGGAAGTTTATTGCCTTATATATAAGATTTTTTGAGAACTTCTGTCACCTCTTTGCCCAGTAATGAACTCTGCTATATGATGCCAGTGGACCAAGACTTTGCTAGCCAGTCTTGCTAGATGCTGGAAATTTGCAAAAAGTCAGCACGAATTTCTGCCTGAAGTTGGTTTGAGCTATCTGCAGCCCTTGGTCGAACAGGAGGAAAAAAGCTTATGCTCAGACAGAATTCCCTGACTTTTGAAGAGCATCTTGTCTCCTTATCTTTTGCAAACCGTGCTGTAAACACTTCTTTAACTGCTTCCAGAGCTCATTTCCACAGGCGCAGCATTTGGCTGGGTTGCCCCCAGCGCAGCGGAGGGAGGCGGCGTCCCACGGCGGCTCTGTCACGGTGCAGCCGCTGTTCCCGGGTGCCACAGTTAACCCTGCCCAGATGTTCTCCTATCTGTGGCCAGCCCAGGAGCCGGGCCCGATGTTTTCCAAGCCCTTATCCTCATCCTTATCCTTATCCTTATCCTTATCCTGGCCTGTTTGTGTGAGCGGGGTCAGGCGCGGCCCCCGCAGCAGATAGCGCTGCCCAGGATGCTGAAGTTTGTGTTGTTTAGGCCACTTACAGCTTTTCAGCAAACTTCGGAGAACAAAGTGATGGGGTTTCTCTGGCAGCTTGTGGACCTAAGAGTGTTTGTTAACAAAGGCTCTGGTTGGAATTCTGTCTCTAATTACAAGATCATTTTAGGTAGGTGCTAATAAAGCATATGGACTTTGCAGGAGCTGCATGGTTTCAGGCTGTGCTTTGCTCTGATCATTACTTTTTATGTTTAGGTGTAGATCTTTTCCAATTTTTCCATTTCCCACATGTGTTGATGATTACTGAAGTCAGTCATATCATCTTTTATGTAATCAGCGTTCTTAGGATAGCTTGCTCTTCATGGAACACACAAAATAAGATTTTTTTGTTTATTTTTGAGGCAGATTTTAGGTTGTGCATATCTCATGCATATGTCAAGTAATCCTAGGAACTGAAGAAGTGAAACTATTTTCAGCCATGCTGAGGGGATATTTGAAGCAAAATATACAATCTAATTACATAGTGTCATTATAGAATAATGCAATAATATATTACTGAAAAGAGTCAATATTTTTCATAAAAAAAACACTTCAGAAACTGTCACACTCCTCCATGTGCCTATCTGGAATGTAAGAAAATACGAATAAATTGTAGCAACTTTTTTGTTTTCCACTAACTATATACAAGGCACAGAAATGTCTGGCCTGTGCAACCATTTAAAATTATGTACCTCTTATTATGGGTCTAAAAAACTATTTAAATTTCATTATGTGTCTTTTAAAACTTTTTTTTTTTCTACAAATGGGTTATTTGCTGTTGCATATTTCTATTTAAGAATTTTTTTGTTTGTTGTTTTCTTGATTCCTGAGGAACTAATATTTGTTTTCCTGAATATTTTTACTTTCTTATACAAGAAACTTTTGCGTACAACACACGAATGACCCTGTTACCAAAGATTCTACTATGATTTTTAAGTGTGTGAATAAAGGGTTTTTCCCTTTAAGGGCTGGAGGTAGGGTTCTTTTAACTGCTTCATATCCACATTCCAAAACCTATTTAAAAACCTGAGTCTAAAGTCCAGCTGACAATGAACTCTATTTTCAGCTAAAACTGCCTCCTCCCCCACTTCGCCACACACTGTTTCTGCTGCTGGTCCACTTGTGATAAAGAGCAAAACTGTTGTTTGGCTGACATGCAGAAGGAGTTGTTTATCAAAAGGAGGCTATTCTAGGAGGATATGCTCTTTAAACAGAACAATGGGGATTTTGAAGATAACCAAATCAGTACTACATAGGTGTTAGATCTGTTTTAAATTGTTTCTGTGTTGGAAAGTAGGAGGGGGCCCTGGTATTTGGCTTTGAATCCCTGGCTTGCAAGTGTGAAATGGCTAAATCCAAATTAGCTGCCAACTGTGCTTTGTACTGCAGTTCAGGCTTGTCTGTAGGGCCTGAGGAGCACAGGCTGGGGGTGCAGGGAAAGAGGCCCCAGAAAATCCAATTTCATTTTGTGATCCTGGTGTACCTTGCACTTCACCCAGGCTGGTCTGCTTTGGTTTTTTTTCATCCACTCTTGGTGCTGCCTCGCTGAAGCAGCAGCACCTAAAAGCAAACCTACAGGCAGACACATCTTTGGCTAGCTGGGTCAGGTTACAGACATCCCCATCCTGTTGATATAAATTAATTGGCTTTTGGACATGAGAGAGTTATCAATAGCTGATAAGTGGGAAGAGAAACAAGGGAACTTCATGGGAAACTTAGTTTGGTAGAGGAGCTCAGCAGACACATGTGAAGTGTTTTTGTTTGCTCACGCCTTCTGCAGAGAGAGAATCTCATCAAGAATAAAGGTGACCTTCAAAGGCAAGGGAGAGGAACATTACATGTTCTGTCAAGCTCCTGGATGACTGTTTCTATTCTTCCTGAGTTATGACAATCCCTAATTTTCTCTAATGAAAGCTTTTCTTCCAGTATTTTCACATATATTTTTGTTATTTTGGAATGTCACCAGGTACAACTGAAAATCCCCCTCTCTCCCTTACTTACTTGTAGTGGTACTTTTGTGCACATTTAAAAATCTCTTCCCAAAATTAAAAAAGTGAGGATTCCCTGTAAAAACAGGGAATAAACAGTATGAACTCTGTTCCCTGTCCCCCTGCAATGCCTCTATAAATGAAAAGGAGCAGAAAAATTTCTTCTTCTCTAGTGCTGACCATATGCAAGTGATTTATTTAAGGTCACACAGTGAATTGTTTGCAAGAGAGGGATGATTTTCTCTGCTGGCCATCTGATTAAAGCTCAGCCTAAATAGGTTTGGAAATTTGCAGGTGGTTCAGGAGAATGTCTGTGTGTGCCCACTCTTCCTGAAATATCTATTTTGATTGATTACAGAAGGGGAGAGATCTTTTTTATTCATCTGGTAGGCATCCCCTGCCCTCAAAATTCAGAATTCAACTCTTTTTTTCAGCTGTAACATTTTCTACCTTCTTCCTTCAATACAAATGCAAGCTTAAATTCTTTTAAGTGTGAAAAGGGCACCTCGGTGACCCCTGCCTAACATCACTGACACTGTTTGGCATTCTCACCTGAAGCCTGGATTTATTTTCTTAAAGATTCCCACTAGGTAAACCCCATGGAAAAACTAACCCTTGACAGCTCTTGCTGTTTTAACCATCACCTTTTAGAGGCAAGTGTGATGCTGTGGAGATGAGGAGGGGCAGTTTGTTTATGCCACAGCCAGCTTTGCTGTTTGTTTTCTGTTCTGTCCTGATGCATTTTCAGAAGCTTTATCCTGCAGCCAGGAAGAAGAAGTGACTCCGTGGTTATTCAGGCAGAGCAGGGATGTGCTCTGTGCAGCAAGGTGAGGGGTGTAGTGATTATTATTACTGATTATTGCAGTAAGTTTGGACACTCTTGATGCTGTCAAGAGGGGCAAATAATGAACCTTTCCTGAGCTTGCTCAGAGTAATGGCATTGCAGGGGGACACAAGGATATCTGGGCCAACAGTGACAACCCTGTAGTTTCCTGTGTTGTTCAGTCCTCGTGGAACTACGTGCTGTGCCCTGCTGTTAAGTTTGCAGACTGCTTCATAGGTATGTTGCCTGACACTTGAACTGATTAAACTAAAATGATCCTCTTGAACTGAGATGGATTCCTAAAGAGGGTTGGGGTTTCAATTAGAGTATCCCAGTACAGACTTAGAAGCCTACTGTTTGCTTTTATGTTTGAAAATGCTGCCCTTGACTTTTTGATTTTTTAAATTTTATCTAAGCCAAGAAGCTGTACTTCCATTCAGCAGTGTGGTTTTTTTGGTTTTATTCTAATAACTCTTGACCTGCCCATGTAGATTTAACTGACTGGGAATAAGAGTTGCTCCAGGTTATCACAGTAGCTCATGTACATTGACAGAGTGTTGGAAACCAGATTTTATGACAACATAAAGGGTAGAACTTTCCAACTTAGGAGGAAATACATTCCTATACTTGAAACACAAAAAAATTTAGTGGAGGAAAAGAAACTTGCAATTTAGAACTAACTATAACTTAAACTAAACTATAACTTGCAGTGCTGCAGCAGTCCAGTGAACAATTCTCTGTTTTGCATGTGTACTCACATCTGAAATTTTCTCAGTGTTGAGCTCCAAGCATCAATTGCTGCTGCTTGAACTCTGCTCTTGCTTTAATGATGGGTTCTTTGCTCTCACCGCAGAGCTGGATGGAGTCTTTGGAGACTATCACAATGTAAATAAGTACAATCTGTTTGTTTCTAGCCTGTTAAAAAAAGAGTGAGTTGTATGTGTCAAAGAAGGGGAAAAACTCCTAAGGATTCATTTGCATGCCTTTGAGATGCAGGAGGTACAGGAAGCAATGGGTTTAGGGGAGGGCTAGCAAAGTCATTCCATAGGGGTATAACAATAGGGAAACATGTAGAGTGGTAGATGCTGTTAGATTAGATTAGTGTAGATTTATTTGGCAAGTGGTGTTTATTTTTCTATTAATCATATAGAGGTATTTAAAACTTGCAGAAAAGGCGTTATTCCACAAACCATGTGGAATAACGTGTTCGTTTCATGTGTGGGTTGGTTTTTTTTCTTTTTTTTTTTTGTTTTAATCATTCATAGGAAAAAGAATTCTCTTTTTTTTTTAAATTAGAAATGCTAGACTAGAACTAGAAAATGGAAATTGCAGTAAAGTGGTGCAGTAGTTCAGGTATACTGAATTTCTCTGCTGCCATGTTTGTCCCTAGGCTGGATTTTTCTTCATCTATTACATTTGTGATATTTTCTTCCTGCCTTTGCCTGTGTTATTATAATCTTAAATGTGGTGAAATATGCTGACTTTTACAAAATTTTATGTTTCAACAAAGGAGAGCAAATAGAAAGAGCAAATGAATTCACAATTGGCTAGAGCTAATTTTGTGTAGTTACTAGCTTACATCCCAGATTTCTCTGTCAGTTACTTGTTTGAAAGTAAAATAGGAGGCACAGCACGTGCTGAAAGCGAGAGAAAGGTTGGAGTTTCATAGGGACAGCCTCCTCACACCATTGCCAAATCACCTCTCTTTGCTTTGCATTTGTAGTTATAAACCAGGACACAGGTCTGATGGCTGCTGACAACCCTCCTCAATATTTGTGGTTTCCCTTCAAAGGTTTGATTTGCTGTAAACATTTTCTCGATGAAATTTGCAGTGAGGGAGAAAGTTGCTGTAAGATGTGGCCATGGAGCATCATGGAGCTGGACCGAGCAGCCTGTGGCAGGGCTCCCACCTCTGCTGTGCCCCTCCTGCTGCTCCAGGAGAGCCTGGCTCTCAGCAGCCACCCTGACTGTAGGGGCAATGCTTGTGGCCTCTGAGAGCCTCTCCCAGAGGCATTGCCTGGACTAGGCAATGGCTGCTCTGCACCCTTGGCCCTCTTCCCCTGCTTCCTTCTGGTACCACACTCTTACTCCTCTTTTCTCCTGGTTTAGCTGCTTTTTCCTCCCTGAAGACTATGCAAATGCACAATTCCCCCTTGTTTACAATCTCAATCCTGCTGTGAGGGAGAGCTTCTTCCAGTGCTTTTCTCCCTTGTAATGCAACTAGAGGCACCATCAACCTTACCTAAGAGATGATGGTTGGTCACTGGAACTTCCCCTGACCTCCAGCCGCCTCCTCCCCTATACTGTCTGTCAGGTACCATTCTTTAACATGCACCTTCAGTGGATAAACAGGTCTCTACTCAAAATGGGTGGAAAAAGACTTGTATGATCTGTGGTAAATACATGTGTTTGCCACTACATTGTTTTATTATTGTTTATTGTTGTTTTATTAGCAGAGCCTTTTCCTAAGTCCCAAATGCTGGCCTATTTGACCATATTGGGTGACTGTTCTACTTTCTCTCCATTAATTTCCAGGGCAAATTTGAGCTATCTACTAAGTGCTGCAATAACTGTGTGTAGACTAGTACTTTCTGTACTTTCTGACTTTAGTTAAACTGTAGGATGGATTTGTATCTTTCAGCATTTCCTTTGACCCACTTTTCTGAATTAGTTTCCACTGTCCCTGAAAAATACTGTCCTGCCTCCCTTCTGGTTTTGCTATTTCCTTTTGTTTGCTGAAATATTTAATGAAAACTTGCAGCAAATAAAAACTGTGTAAGTGGCGGAAATTTCATTTGCTCGACAATACAGAAAGTCAGATTTGGTGAACTTGGTTTTCAGATGTATTTTCCTTAATTCTTAACTAAATGCAATTGTCAGGATTTATTTTTCTTTCCTTGATTGAACTATTTGCTTTAGGCTAGCTGAATCTAAATCCTTTTCTTGCTCAGGTTTTTTACTTTTTTGATGCTTCTGATGATGTCATTCACAGAGTGTTGCATAGTAGAATTGTTGCCTTGTAATAAACTAGAGGAGTCTCTCTCTGAATTGATTTTTTGAGGGCAGAAATGGTACACTCTAAATTATTTTAAAGAGAGAAGAAAGGAAAATGAGATGAATACTCTCCCTGTCCCTCCATAATTATCTCTTAAACATGTGGTACAGTGTTGGAAACAGTGAGTAATCCTCACCCTCACAGCTCTGCCAGCCAGAGTGTTTCATGTGAGAGATGGTGTTTTGCTGACGCAGGGCTCTGCTTACTCCAGTGGGTTTCTCTTTGTGCTTATTGAGATGCCAGAAAATCTACTGCATAGGTCATGCAGAGGGAAATTTATTTGGTGCCATCTTGTTTCAGCTCCTTCTTATCCTTATCATGTGCTTGTGCCCTCCTCCAGAGGCTGGCAGGGGCTCTGCAGAGTGGCCTGTGACAAGAATAGCTGGGAGGGTGGCTTCAGGAGTGGCCTGTGACACAAATAGCCGGCAGAGTGGCTTCCAGCCACTGTGAGCAGGGCTGCCTCCCCTGCCCCGAGGGAGCTGCCTGGCTCCATGCCTGCCCTTGCCAGTGTGCCAGCCTTGTTCTACTCCCTCTCCTCTCATGCTCTCAGTGATCATTTAAATAAGATAGTCCTGAAAATGCATCATGGAAGGTTTAGAGGATGACTTTAGGCAGGATTTACATGACAGACACCAGATCCTGCTTGTCTCTGTGCACATATACCTCCTCTGAGTTTCTCTTAGCTGCAGGGGAGTGCCCAGAATTACAAATGTGACCGAGAGGAGCAGGGCTAGCCTGTGGTGTTTACAAGGGTGCACAGGTTGGTTGTGTCAGGTTTGATGTCTTGGGGCTACCTGGAGCTGTGTCAGTGCAAACCATGCGTGGGAGGCTGGGACAAGTGTGGTGAAAGCCACAAGAGAAGATCTTCCCTTCTCAGTGTGATGCACCCACACCAGGACTTCGTGGTATTGAAGCTACGTAAATGTGGTTCGAGCATTGGAAAACAAACCCCTTCCAGATATCACAAATCATTCTTCTTTTGAAAGATCTTCCTTGCTCCAGTCTTCCCACACCTCCCATCCTCAAATGCCTTACCTAATGCTCTAGACAAAGCATAATAAATCTTGCCCTCATTTTTAAATCTTGTGTTGTGCACACTCCCTGCACTATGGAGACCATGGCATTCCTTGTGTATTAATTTCCTGCTTTCAAGGTATATCTACTGTTTAGCACTCTCCTCATTCACACCATTGCTCAAAACTGGCATCTTTCTCTGTTTCGTGTGAATCTGACAGTGTGAAATCTGCACCAGAAACTTAACTGTAACCACCTGCTGTTTACTCTATAATTACCAGTAAGCAAGTCCACTGTAAGTATGTGTGTCTCCACTTTGGATGCCAAAAAGACATTGATAGCTTCTGAGTCAATCATTTGTTGGTCTGATGTGAAAAAAATACCTCTCACTTGAGTCAGAACCTTGTCCTTCTCTCGTCTTTTTACTGCGTTAGATTATTTCATGTGGTAGCAATGATAGCTTGGACATAGCAACACTCTTGGGGCCCACATGGAAATACCCAAGCTTGTCCTAGTCCTAGGTTTGAAAATAGCTCAATTTCATAGAGCTAGCTAGCTTTGAAAATGTTCAAAGTCTACATATGCCTGGATAAACTTTAGAGGACCTCTCTTAGCTCTTACATTAGCAGTGTAGTTCAATGGTTATGTTAGTGACCTTTGTCAGTACAAGAATTCATGTTAATTCATGACAACCTAGAGCATTATTATGAACCTCTTGACTGTTCTGTTTTTTGGGGCTTTGAAAGATAATCGAGGTGGATTTATCTGATACTAAGAGATGAACCAGTTACCAGCCTTAGGTTTCTTCCCTTATTTTTGTCGGAGGTTACTGCCAGAGTAAACTGAAATTGGAGGTGGTTTACGATCATGCTGCAGCCTGTACACTACACTTGCTCAGGAGTTTATCCAGGAGGATCAGCTGATCCTGCTGCAGGATGGTGACCTCTGGCAGAGACACAGGACAGAGACAGCTGCTTCTGCTCTCCCAGCTAAACCTGCTTAAGGCGGTGGGTGGGAGTTGTTAATGCCATTATTTGTTTAATTGTAGGGCTAATAGGTTTGTGCCTGTGTGTGCACTTTATTACAATAGAATACATTAAATAGAAGCAGAGGAAAGATTGAGTGTGCTACTTTGGGAGCTGGTTTCCAATTGTTATTCCTTTTTATTAAAGAGACACTAAAAGGAAAAGTAACCAGAAGCAAACTCTGCTTTAAACTCTCCACTAAAAACACAGCTCACCCTGAAGTGTCTGGTCCATGGGGCTGTGCAGTGCTTTTAGGAATACAGGGCAAAGGTGAATTTTTAATTAGCCTGGTCTTCTTATTTTCCTCCAAGTATAGATAGGCTTAGCTTTCTCACCCTTAGTACTTGAAAACAGGCAGCCAAGGGTGCTCTGGGAATTACTTGCTCTGGAAGTCTGTTAGAAAAATGGTAATCCAAAAGTTATTTCTATTTTAATAAAGAGAGAATAAAGTTTTTAATGATGATAGCCTTATGGAAGTGCAGTTTTTTCCCTTTCTCACCCCCCTCCATAATACCCTTAATAAACAAAACAGAGATAGAACAAATACTTTACAAGCTACTGCAGGGATCACAGTAGTATTTTGTGAGGTGCTGTGGGAGCTATCTTCTGTGCTCAGGCCCAATGTGAATCTGCAAGTGGTGGTCCTCTCAGGAAAGAAGCTGAGGGCACTTGGCAGTGGATAGTATCTTGCCCATAGTGGAGATGGTGAGAGAATTGGCAATGAGGAGGTGACTGGTCATTCTGCAAGGCCTGGTCTGGGGCCAGTTTTCATTTTCATCTTGTTCTCTTTCTGTTTTTCTTTCTCTCTTGCTTTCGTTATTTATACCAATGAGCAAATGTTGCTTATTTTTAGCAGCCTTTCCATTTTGCTCAGGCACTGATCCTAAGTAATGGAATGCCTATGGCCCTCCCTCAGGCACCATTTCACCTCTAATAAGAGCAAACAAATGCAAGCTTTGGTGTAGGGAGTTATTGATTTGCTTCCAGGCAAGTAGGTGTTTGTGATGTATATAAAAGGTGCCCATGCATACCATGTGTTAGCACTCCAACATCTTATGAAATGGACTGGCATAATCTGCCTTGGGCTGTTGGTGAGAAATTGTGTTATCATCTCCATAAAGAAGCCTTGAAACTTACTTATTTTAGAGGATATAAACCTCCCCCTAAAAACACAAACACCCCCAAATAGGCCCACCCATTTCCACTACTACAGCAAAAGCAAGGTCCTCCCTTGAGTGCAGACAGTTCCAGCTCTGGGAAGCAGATGTATCAATTAACAGAAGTAGAGGTAAGAGTTGCATAGACAGGGGTAGATGCTGTAAGCCCCATTTTTTTTGCTTTTCTAATTTGGATCATATATCAGATCTTAATTTTATTGCAGAGATGCTAACACTAGGGATAATGGGGTCCTGAGAGAAAGAGTTATGGGAGAGCTTCCACTGAGGTGTGGATGTCCAGGGAGCCCCTGCCACACAGATTAGCAGCTGGCAAGCCACATCTTCCATTGAGTCTCTTAGCAGCTTTATGTCTTCTTTCCAATGACCTTAGAAACTACCCCTTGTCTAAGCCCCTTTAGGCTGGAAAAAAAAAATGTAAGGGAGAGTGTATCCAATCTGAGACAACAAAGCTGATCCTTTCCTAGCCCTACTCAAAGCATATCCAAAAGAACTTCAGAATAAAGAAGAAGCATCTACATATTTACACTGCAAGGAAGGAGATGCAGAGTTTTAGGTCTTTCCCATCCCTGCTAGTCCTGCATTCCCCTCAGGTATGAGGGATTTGTTGGGAGAACAAGAGCCCTTGGTCATTGCTGTTGCCTACTTTGCATCAACAGCGCTTGTCTCTCCTAGACACGTTTGTATTGCTGTCTATGAAGTGATTTCTAGCTCGTGCCTATTTCAGTTCCAGCTGGAAGGAAAGCAGGTGGGGAGATTGTCCCACACCCTTAGTGTTCCTGAGATCCACCCAGACTACAGGTATAACTGCATAATGCTTGGTTCTCTCAGTGGGGTCTGGCTTAGTTTAAACACTTCCTGTAGGTTTTTGTCTTCCCAGTTTTCAGCCCTGACTCCTTTTGATAGGGTTAGGAGCCTACTTATGTGCATGCTTATGCTGGCAGATGAGACTAATTTTCTGCTAATAGAAGGAGTGACTGTGGAAACATTACTCAGGCACAGCTAGAGTAACCAGTGGACCTGTGCTTAATTTACTAATGCCATGTCTGTGCAAGTATTGTTGCTTTTGCCACTACTTGGGAGTTACCATTGACTGCAATTGAAATATATTGGAGATGGGGAGAAGAAGGAATCTTGTTTAGGTAACAAAATGATGTTCCCTTTGAGAAGGACCTAAGTACCTTTTTTACCATAAATCTTTGTAGTATTTCCACCCTTTCCATGTTCCAGTTGCTGATAGTTTTATCTGTACTCTGGCATATCTCTCAGCTGAAGCAAGTCCTGTCTTTGCCAAGTCCCTGTTTTGGTACTGTCATTCAAGATCTAGCTCTTATTAACTATCCTGAACCTGGTGGAAGGGGGGAAGGTGTCTATTCTGAAGCTACTCTTTTAAATTTAGCTGTATTTGTGTGCTATGATCTGCACGCCTCTGCCCCCAAATTACTAAAATTGCAGCACAGTTGTCCAGGGCTTATTTTTCATTAAATGACTCTTATAACTGGTATTCCCATTAATGACTATCTTAGTCTGAAATGCAGCAAGACATTTAACATGAGTGGGATATGATACCCACCTCAAATAAATACAGTGCTGCATCAGTAGATGTTTTCATATTTTCAGGTAAGCAGGCTGGTGTTGGGGAAAAAGGTTAGTCTATTAACACCTCTGCTCAAAGCAAGCCAACTTCCTTTCTACATGGAATAATTATTTTTTCACATAAGCCCTTAGTGCCTCTGCTATGTTTGCACTTGTAAGTCTCAAACATTGCAATACAGATAGCCCTTTATGAGTGGAATCTGAGGTCATGTGTCTGCATTTAAAATTTAAAATTGCTGTGCATGGGCTACCTTGCACTGGCTTGTGAATGCTGTAGGTGTAAGGGCTGTGGACCCATATTTCAGGTGTGAAGAGAGTAGGGCCTTTTTTAGCACTTAAAGCACCCATGTGTGCAACTCACAGTTATGAGTGCCTTTGGCAAAACTTTGCAGATTCTGTTGATTCATAGCTGGCATCTCACCATCTGTATGGTCAGGATTACAGATAAATATGTATCTGTCCTACACATAACAGACCCATTTAGAGCATCCCTACAGCATAAAGAGGAAGCGAACTTGGGCACAAAATTCACTCTACCTTTGTGAAAGACTTGCTGGGGAGAATACTGAAAGGCCTTTTGTTTGTCACAGTCCAGGGCTCACCAGAGATTTTAGGTGGCTGGCAATCCATGTTTCTGTTTATACAATTCCAGCAAGGATTAAGGGTCTTTAACCAATCACAGTTCAGACAGAGGTGGTGGTGGGAGCAGAGATTGTAACTAGGATGCCAAGGAAGTAGAGAGACAGAAGCCTTCTATCCTGGATCTTGGATCCTGGGGCTTTCATGGATAAAATGTTGCAGCTGGAGTTGTAGAGGGTGTAATGACACACAAATTTTTGGTTTAATCATCTTCTAAAGTCATGCCCAGGGCTGGTTTACAGAAGATGAAAAAAGCTAATGAACCCTGAGGAGGACTGATCTGCAGCTGTCTTCAATAGCTTCCTTGAAGGAGGTCTTTTTTCATTGCATGTACAACCACTGCACATTGCTGTTTTGAGCAGCTGTGTCTTTGCTGCTCTGATATGCTCATTGCTGGAACTGTCTCTTAAAACTCTGGCCAGCACCTGAAAAAATATTATTATTTAAGGTGACATTAACATCCAGGTTCCAGCCACAATTTTGAGCTGGGTACACCACAGTTGAAATAGGAGAGGCTGTCTGTGCCCTAGAAAGCTTATTTTTCTATCTGCAGACACTTAACTTGGAAAGAGGAAATGGGTGAAGGCAAGGTAGTCTTTTTTGAATCCAATGTGAGCTGGCTAGACAAGTCAGGGAGATTCTTAACAGGTGTGAGATTGCAGTAAGATTGGAACAATCTGGCAGAACCACAAAAAATCTGATTTAAAACTCCCAAACTTTTGTCATTCCATACTCAGTAGCAGAGCTAGGAGAAGTAGCTCGGGAATGGAGCATAAGATGGAATTTCAGCTTCTGTTGGTGCTGTGGCCACAAATTCTTGAGTACTTATGTGTACTGTATACCTATTTCACTGCTGGGCTTGACCCAGTATTTATACCTTGTGCTGCTGTATTCTGGAAACTGGTCTTGCACCAATAGCACAATTTGCAAGGGACATGCCCAAGTGATCTAGAGTGACTGTAACTATGCTGGTGCAAGAATTTGAATTCAGACATTGAAGGGGCACATTCACAAAGGAAAAAATTGCACTACCAACATTTGTTAACCAAAATATGATGACTAGCTTGGGGTAAGTGCTTAAGGCTGTCCTCTGTGCTAACAGGCCCATGCAGAGAAACTGGGTGAGCCCTGGGGTGAAAATTGCAAGCTGCTGAATGCAATGTTCAATACTATGGCTATATTTTTAGATTACTTCAAGTAAGGAGTCCTTTTGTCCTGCCAAGTATGAGGTATTGAGATGTTTTGCAAATATTACATTTTTTATATTTGTTTCTGTTAATATATTATTGGCTAGTTGGTATTTTGAATAAAAATAATAACTGTGAGAAGCTTTAAAAATGAACTCTTTACAACTGATCATTTAATAATAATTAAAGGCAGTGAAGGAAACTTGAAACACTCAGTAGTTTTAGAAGTAAAGCCGAGGAGGGTATCTTCTGAAATTCTCTAATCTTCTTATTGCAAAAACTGAGGCAGGGAATTTATCTTAAGCAATTGCTTTTGGAAAATTATCCTTGCTAGTAATTCCTTTTTTATTCACAGAATATCCCAAAGAAGGGGAAAGTTTGTGAAGGAAAAAAAAAGAATATTGCAACTCACTGCTAGAGGCGTTAATACGACGCTAACGAACCGTAGCCTTTCCAGAGCATAGCTGGCAACATTAGCACCCATCTGTGCCGAGTGGGATGTGCAAGCAGAAGCCAGGGCTGAGCAGCCTCCACCTGTTTGCAGAAAGTAAGTGAGCACACTCTGAAGTTACTCAGCGCATTCGCTCTGTCTTGGGCAGGCTGGTGATGTTGTTACTACTGCTTTTCTGCTGTCTCATATCTCCTGCTGCCATGTGCCAGCTGATAGGGGAGCTGTGACATACCACACCCCCGCGGCCAGGAAGGGGGTCACATGGACTGGTCTCATCCAGAGCACTTTAAAGAAACTGATAAGCTCTATCTCATTTAACTTGGCCTTTGGAAGACACTTGTGGAAATTTCTGCAAAGGAGGTGACATCAGTTGTTGTCACAGCTGCTGTGTAAGTCTGCAAGGCTGCGTCTGTTCAGTATCTGCCTGGGGTGTGTATGCGTGTGCAAGTAGATATTGTTCATAGATTGCATTTAAATCAAAACCAGTCCATGTGAAGCTGGCAAGAACGTTCACTTGCTCAGAATAGGTGCATTACCATCGAGACTTGAGGCAAGGATGGAGGATGTAAACTTAATAAAGCACAAAGACAACCAGCTTTGGAGGGCTGGCGTGTACGTTTGAAACAAACCTTCTCCCTGGGGAATTCCAAGTGTTAGCATGTGGGACATACTCCAGCTGCTAGCTGCTCAGACTTAAAATAAACCAGGCAAAATCCCATATTCACGTTCTACCAACTGAGGCAAGCTGCTATTGCAAATGTTTTGTCTCCCTTTTTCTTCTAGTTGGGTCAGAATGACAGCAAGTATTTTTGAAAGGGCATTTAAACCCTTAATATTTCACACTGCTTTCCTTGTGCTTCTCTGTAGTGACGTGTTTCTCAACACAGTTGTAAATTTAGCAAAGAATCTGGTTTGTACAGGTTGAAACACTCTCCCAGGAAGGCTGGAATTAAAAAACAGGGTGAGAAGGAGTATTTCTAGCTTGTGTGACAATGACATTGCTACCAATACTGCTTTCCTAATCCTAGGTGCTTTAAAAATCTCAGCATGACTTCATTTACAGAGAACTATTTGCCTTGTTGAACTGTGGAGACCCTTTTTCTTAAAGAGAAACACATGTGACTTAAGGATGGTTGCTTCTTTTTTCTTTCTTAACATATTGAAGAGGAAATAATTTAATGTGTCTGTGGAAGACTCCATAACAGGATTTCAGGGAGAAAAAAAAGATGTCTGGGAGTCGTATGATTGTTTGACAACTAGAATATGAATAACTTTGAGGAGGTCTGAAAATAGACTACAGTACTGTTTGCTTTGTCTTGTGGTTTGAAATTTACTTCAGGACTTTTAAAAAATTTTATTTTAATAACCCTCTGATTATAATTTATTTCCAAGGTATTGAGGTACTTGGGAGGGGTGGGAAACAATCAACTTAATGCAATCTATGCAAATAATGTCTAATTTTTTTCAACAGTAATGTATGTGAAACTTCATTCATCAAGACTACTCAGTTTTTCTGTGATAAAACCCGTTGTGCAACGTAATACACAACATTTAGGAATTCAGTGCTCTTGTTGCTGTCAAAGCATAGATAATAAACTCTACCAGTCAGCTTGAAAATTTTACACAAGTGACTGACATGACCAACCTTCCTGCTTCTTCTCTTCTTCCTTTAGACACAGACACACAAATTCTTGTTCAAATCAACAGGCTTATCCAGGATATATTTATAAGGGTGAACTCTGCCAGGCTTTGGTTAGTCATATATAGAGCTGGGAATATCTTTTGAAGGTATCCCGAACACTGTGACAGAAGTATTTGTCACTCAAACTATTTATAATTCTAGGAGTTTGGAGGGTAGATAGATGTTTATGCTTTTTCATATGAAATCACACTTATGCCTTTTGCACAAAAGGCATTGGCCTTGCCTCTATGGACACATCAGGCAGATCTGGACCACGCTGTTTTTGCGAAATGCCATGTTTACACCCCAGACACATTTCTGGCTACTTGATTGACCTTTCTGTCTCACAGATGACTTTGTAGCTCTGTGAATGTCAGCTTGTTGTCAGCTGGACCTCTAGTTTCTGTGGATGATTGGAAGAGGCCAGTGCAGGGTACCTCAAAAAACGTGAAACTGTTGTCCATGTAGCAGATCTTTAAGGACTCTCAAGCTGAATAAAATGATAAGCTCTAGTGTTAACCTAAATTTTTTTTTTTTTTTTTAATGACATGTAAAATTATATTAAGGCCAGTTAGCCTTTGAGAAATACGACTGATAAGCATCACAGGCTTTTTTCTTTATTTTCATAGCCACCTCAAGCAATCAGTTTTGAGAGCTTCTTGCAATGTTTACGTGCAGGTTATCTTTTCCTCCTAGTCCTTCTTACGTCTCCTGAATTATTCTTAACTCTGTGTTTCTGGGAATCATGGGCAATGTATAGACACAACGCCTTCAGCAGGCACGCAAGGAATGTTATGAGGGTAGCAGGCTTCTGGTTTCCCTGGTCACTCAGAAGATTTATGTGCCAGTATAATGAGAATGAATGATTAGCTGTTGTTCATTGACAGAGACCTTGTGAGTCTGTCTATGCACAAGAGGTTTTGGGAGTTGATAACCTTTGTGCTTCAGGTTTTGTTTTGAATAGATAGAAGTGGAGAAAATGGTTGTTGGTAGATGTAAAACTGAACAAAGTGAAGGGTATTTACAGCCAAGTTCTGGCAGTAAAGCTGGAAACAAAGTTGGGGTATTTTCATTATTTTGGGACACAGCATTATAGAGTTACGAGATGTTCCTGCCTAGGATTTCAGTCTCTTCTATTTTTTAGGTCTCTGTGAGACACTGTGATGCATTGCAGCTTTGGTCTAAGCACCAGCCAAGTATAAAAGGAGGGGCCAATTTTGAACTCTGAAACTGAGAAGTCTCTAGGTCACTCTAAAGTTGCCCAGAGACAAGGCAAGTTAAAGTATCTTTTTTGCCATTCAAAAGCAAGATAAATTGTTCATAGACAGAACCACTATTACTACTATATAAGTTATTCACTTCAACACCTTTCTCATATCATATCAAGTTAATGACCATTTTGTGTGTCTGGTATACATCCAGAACCCCTGTTGTAAAGTCAAGGTTGTGTGAGATAACCCAGTTTGCATTAGTAAATGCTGTAGAACACTATATTATTTTGACAGTTATCATAAAGCTGCATAAACCATACTTTTAAGATATTTTTTTCTAAAGGATAAAAAGTAAAAATTAAATACTGAACTCTGATTTTCAGATATATTACATACACCTCCCCCATCTTCATACCATAATAGCAAATTATTTGGAACCTGAAAGATAAGAGCCATAATTTTTTTGCTTTTATATACCTAAAAAGTAGCAATCTTCAGAAGAAACCTAAGTATTCTCTCTACTGCGACCACATTAATTCCAGAAGAAACCTCTGCCTTCTCTGGCATTTATGATTTCCTAATATCCACTTCTTAAAAGTTTTGACTTTCTCAATGGTTCCAGCAGCTTCACATTATAAGGTTTTGAAGCTGATTTAAAATTTCACCACGCATTTTTGCATTTTGATCAAGAACTCAAACTGGGACTTAAGGGCTTATGTCCTATGCAGAAGTTACCCATGTGCAAAAACATTCTTCTGAAACATATGGGAAAGAAATGGGTGCCTTTACACAGAAGCCTGGAAGGTAATTGGAAATCACTGTGCTCCATTTTTCAAGAATAAGAACCATGAACCCTGCTCCTGGAATGGCTCAAAGCACGCACTCTTTCTCTCTGAAAGGCATAAACTCAGCGTTCCTGCGCGCACCTATGATATGGTGGTTGGAAAGGCATTTGGAAGCATTCCCTTAACAACAGTCACATCACCATCCTCCTATCTATTTGTGCTGGCTGCAGTGGAGACAGGGCATTGTTTACCCCTGTGCTGTTGTATAGCAACCCTGGGAGCTGGAGGCAGAGCTGTGTGTGGTGCTTGGGCTGGCCCCAGCCTTGTGTGCGCTGCGCACGGTACAGACAGCGATCCTTGCTGAGCTGGGCCCTGCTGCAGGCAGGACAACCAGCCACAACAGCCCTGTCCCACCTCATGGTGCAGCCAGGGGAGAAGGAGAGGGGACAAAACTCCTGCTCGGCTTTCCTAGGTGTGTACCTGTGCCTCAATGACTTCATTCAGCTCTGAACTAGTAATGGAAAATCTTGCATGGCTACATCTCAATATATCATAGTCTGTGTTTGTAACTGAGTTGGCTTGAGTTAACAGTACCTTTAGAGTTACACTGCTTGCAAAACATGCACCACTAGCCAAAGAATGCCTTTTATCAAGATGGGTTAGGAATATGCAGTGCTTCCCTACAGGCATGTCACTACCTGTAGCTGAATTTAATAACACTATATTATTGTAGTGTGGTTTTTACTGGCTTTTTTTCTTCATTCTTTTGAATCTATTTACTTAATTTTCCTACCATCAAGAGAAAACCAGCTATGAATACTTGCAAAAGCAGGGTCAGATGGTGAGACTGGATTGAAAGAAGGTATTTAGATTCTTCAGATGGTGCTCAAGAGAGCTGTGGGCTCAGCTATGCTACACAGCCAAGTACACTATAGAGATCCCTGAGCTAATGCCATGATCGGAAGCTCTGTTAGTGTTGTTCTGTTCTCCCTGGGCTAATTAACAGAGGTGCCTCTCAGCATACCTAATTAGCTGGGTTCCTGCAGCATCCTCAGGGGCAGGGCTAATTAGCGTGGGTGCTTTGCTATACAGACAGGCTACATTGCCTCTGGGATCCAAGCTAGCATCCGTGCTCGGCATTGCAATGCACCGTGCAGACAAGCCAGTTTCCTCAAAACTACCTCAGGATCTCCTACAGCCCTTTGCTGTGTAGACTTGCCTGGTGCATTAATGAGACCCCAGAAGCTTGTGCAGGGAGAAGGATAGCAACCTGGGATGTGGGCTAGAGGGTAACATTTTAGGACACAGATGTTTCAGGATGAGTCCCAGATTCATTTGCTTTTACTTTACATCTACTTCTTACCTTCACCTCTGCATCTACTTCTTACCTTTTTATTAAAAACAGTGTAAAAAGTAGTCACCACCTGTGGTAGAGGCAAACAAATAGGCCTGTATTGAGACAAATGAAGTCTGAACCTGCTACCCTGCAGCTTGC